GGAATAAGACATAATGACATTAACGAGTATGCTGAAGAAAACAAGGGGAAAGTTTAAAGTAGCAAACCTCGGTCTCCAAAGCGCACGGAGGATCCCATCGGCTCGTCCCGCTCCAGACCCCATCGCTCCAGACTCACAAACTTTACAGTAAAACTTGGAATCAAACGACTGGATAATATGTTAACTAACATAGCTCAAAAGGTCCCATAGCCGCACTCTCGTAATAAATTCCACGGCTTAATCTGTCCGACAAACTGTCAGTCCACAGCAAAAGAAGATCCTGTCACTCAGGAAAAGTTCAACTGACTACTGAGTTCTCATTTGAGCTCTGAGGGAGGGAGGCGCGCGCGTACACTCTCCCCCTCTCTCTCTCTGTCTCTCTCTCTCTCTCTGTCTCTCTCTCCCACTCTTTCCCACCTCTCTCTCTCTCTCTCACCTCTCTCTCACACACTCTCTCCCACCTCTCTCTCTTTTTCCCTCTTGAAATTGCTTTATTGTTGGCCGTAACTGTTTACATTTACTCTATTCAATTTATATTTGTATAGCTATGGAAGTTATAGCATTTCCATAGCAAATGTGAAATAAAAACAAAAAAAAGTAGGTAAAATAGGTAAAGATCCACTGCAATGAAGAAACGCATTGCAAAATCTAATTAAACATGTTGAGGCTATTTATATGCAGATATAGAGCTTAAGATAGCCAATTTCGACACCACTTGTTCCCCCCCTTCTTTTGTACCTTTTCTGCTCTTGCTGCCCAAATGACTTTCAGAGTGTGAAGTCATCCATGTGGGGCAGGGGGGCTGTGACAGTGTGGGTAGCATGCTGCAGGGCCCAGGGGACTGGGTGGCATATGGGACAGGGCGGCACATTCTGTGTCCACAGTGCAAATAAATACAGTGAAAAACAGCAGTTTTTTTTTTTTGTGGAAAGAGAAACACAAATCATTGCTATTTTTTTTCCAAAAGCAGGCTTCCATCAGAGAGATTAACAAAGTAGCTGATCGGCTGGTGAATCACACACAAAGACAGAAAAGAGCTACTTTCTGTGAGCAGTGAGCCAGCAGAAATATTATTGCATTTGTTCCGTCAGTCGTAAGAGGCATAAAGGTGTTATTAAGATGTCAAAAAGATTTATAGTGTGAGCCTACAAACAGGGTCATTCCTGATGAGGGAGTGTCACCTCCACTGACAGCTGTAGGAGAGGAAGAGAGGCACAAAGACAGATTATTAAAGAAGAGGAGAATTTTCAGATATTTATTCATTCAATCATCAATGCCATCACTTAGTCGCATGCACACACGCACACACACACGCACACACGCACTTCAATTCATACTGCTTATTCTCTTTATGTTTGGTTTTGAGAAAATGTAATTCCCTGCATGCTTAAACCCAAAATCCTTCAGGCATTTAAATACTATGGTAAGTCTAATTTAAAAAAACAAGGGGGGCGTTGACATCTATCCAACCAAAAGTTTTACTTATGATGAGTAGCCAATCATGTCCTCTTTCAGGATGGACTTTTGCACCATGCAGTTGCAGTTTTTGGCAATTCAAGCATGAAAGTAAATACTCTGTTCAATAAAAAACTGTGCCTGAAATTCATGTGAGCTTCACATTCTCTAAAAGAAGATGTCAATGGCTCAATGTTTAAACCCTGAGGAGAATGCAACAAAAAAAAATGTAGTTATTTTAAATATGAAGCTACTTAAGTATGTAGGTTTCTACCGGACACAGATGTGAAAATACTTCTTAGTTTAAAATAAGAGCCGGGAACAAGTATTGGGCATATCACGCCACGATGTTTACCATCAGATTATTCTTCTGTTGACTAATGCTGGTACTGGGTCCACTATTATTATGGATTCTGATGTCTAGAATTATATCAAAAACCACCTAAAAGCAAAAACACATGACAAACTAATCAGCATATGAAATTTGAAAAGCTGTGACACAGAAATAGTGAACTCTGGAAGAAAAGAAGACAGCTGCCTCTCTACTCAACATCACCTGTGCTTTCTGATCAAATGACACCACCCCATTGAATGACTAAAACACAGTTGCCAGCTCTGTTACACCCAAAGCGTGGCAAATCCTCTCAGGTTTCCTCCAAGATCAGGTTCAAGATGGACTGTACTAGCAGCAGTTGGACTGCCTCAATGCTCAGATTACCAGGATCCTGAATATTTCATCTGGCGACACAGGGCTCACTCAAAAAAGCAGGAGTCAAGAAGCAGAAGCTGGATGAAACAGGACGCGTGTCGCTCTACTGAGGTTACGGGGGATCAACTCTAACATAAAGATGTTCTAATTAACAAACACAGGTGTCACATACAGTTGCCAACTTTTTTCTAGACTGCCATATTGTGCATCAGCTGGAAGTCTGCCAACCACAATAAAAAACAAGTGAGGCTTTCAATCCAGTGACACACAGTTTCCTGTTGAGCCCCTCCTGACAGGGAGCAGCAGCACCGTTTCCTCACATGGAAGCAGCTGTGATTCAATACCTGGCCACAGCTCCAGTATTCTGCAGCGTGTAAGACTGTGTGGGTGTAAAGGCATTGTTCCGTGTGTGTGAAGCATCTATCCCCTCCGGTCTTACACTGTCCTTGGCAGAGCCTGGACGCTCCCCTGGGACATGCCCAGGTTTGCCCACTAACACACAAAGACAAATCCCTCTCTGGGACGCTGAGGCTCCTCCTGCTTGTTTGCTATGGACCTGGATTAGCAGTTCTGGATCAAAGCTCCCCTGCAGGCTCATAGTGGGAAGCATCAGTCCACTCACTCTACTTTCACAGCTGATTGTAGTTTTTAAATTAAGCGGGGAAAAAAAGAAGTATAGAAACGAATAAAGCAGTAAGTGCCAGAAAATGTGCCATGTGAAATGTTTTAAAGCTCATATATCATATCAGATTTCTAGTATGTAGTCATAACTAACTTGAATCCTGCATTACTTGATTATTTTTGGAAATATACCACTATCTAGCTGACAAACTGCCCACTATGTTCATTAGCTAGTGGCTCAATGTCTCTCTCTGGTCTCTGATGTTTGGCAGGTGTAGCAGTTTCCTGGATACTTTAATCCAGTTTACATTAAAACATATTTATTAAAACATCTTTAAATGAAGGTAATACAAAACATCTACTAATAAAGGGTCTTTTTAGTAGGTCAAAAGTTAGACAATGAAAACAGGGAAACATGTTAACCGTCAGCAGTGCTAATCTCTGGATTTCGAAATGTGGTAAAAGAAATAGCTCAAGGCTCTCAAGGCCAAGCTTTATTCAAAACTTTCAACAGTAGCTCCACCAATCAAATCTGGGTCCACTTACTAGCATTTTCAAGACTTTCAAGCGTAGTTTGTAACAAATCTTATATTGAAGGTCCACTTGCTAGCTTTTTCAATTAAATGTGTTATCTCTGACAGTTGAGCAAAAATAGTTTCAATTTGAGAGGAAAATGGAAGAAAACTGTCTGATTGCTCAAGGAAAAGTTACTGTAAGTATAATCTTATCAGCTAAAAATGTCACAACCTGGATGTTAAAGAGGTATTTTCCTGTAAACTGCAACATCTTCTAGCTGATACGCACTTCCTATTCCCTCCAAAAATATTGTATCAATATGTAAACTTTTCTCCCTTTTTTGTGTAAAGGGGATGATGTTGGGTCAAATGACTGTGATAGCATACATTTTTTTTTTTTTTAAACCTTCAAGTTATTCGCCATAGCAATCAAACATTGTTAACCCAGTGGTGTATTATCATTCGCCCATTGCTCATCTCTCCCTATAACCACGTCCAGCACCTCCGCGTGGCTCTGGGCTCAGACCAGACGTTCTGCGCTGGGATTAGCAGAGTAACTCTGAGGACAACGTCTGACTGTGTGAGGGCGTCTACAGTGTGTGGCTGTCGTGTGTAAAGGCTCAGCTGAGTGTACAATTATAACTCGTCATGTGCGAGGTCTGGCATGCAAGTTAATACACACTGGCTATACTGTGAGCTAGTATGCCTCTGACCAGGGGCGATAAGAGGCTTAGAGTATCAAGCACCCTGTATTTCAAATAACTTTGCTGTTTGATCTGCTGATCACCTGCAGTGCTGCATTTAATGTGATAGTCGAGAATGAGGTGCCCCCATGAAATGAAGCAACCAAAAACATATTTTAGACACAAACAGTCCTCAATTACAACTGCAGAGGGAAACATGTACCTTGCAGAGTCACAGATCACTGGAACAGAGACAGCATCTTCCTCCTGTGAGACTTCAACTGCCAATCACCACGTACTGCTTCCAGTTCATCATGGCTGCATCGGTTACATCTCAGATTGCATTTGTGACGACACACTCCTAAACACAAAGCATGAAGAGTTAAAGCGTGTGTAAGGCAACTCCACACAATGTGCTAGAGTCTCGCTGGAGAGTTCCTATGTGCCTGCTGTTGGTGACTGGGCCCTACTGTATGTGAACATGTGTGAAAGATTGAAAAGCAAAAGGAAACACTTCAGTCACACTGGAAACCAGACGGGAATTGGTCAGACCAAACAAACAATATATGCACTCAAAAGATCATTCTTACCAGGCTAGACTTAAAGAAACTATAAGGTGAAAATGCTAGGATAGGACACAAAGTGTGAAAAGAAACAAGAGGAACAAAGTGTTTCGTGGCCGTTGGCAGGTGATGGTAAAGGATTATTCAGATTGTGCTGAATGCACTTGGCATCTCTAGGTTCCGGCTTAAAGAAAAGGTTTCTCAGCATTCACACTAAAGAATGAACTCACCTTCAAATGCAAATTAAAACTCAACACATTGAAAAAGCACACACTGTTTGGGTGGGTTAATGTACAAAGTAACATTTCAAACTCTCTAATTGTTGTGCACAAAAAACACATTCCCTGTATACTTATCTTGCTTTTTATTAACCGGCATTCAAAAAAAAATAAAAAATGAAAATGTCCTGTCCTAAAATACTTGAATGTCACAATACAAACACATTTTAAAGATATAACAAATCAGTCTTTATTATTGTGATTATATTCTGTACAATCTACTTACATTATCTGAATGGGGTACAAGTAAATACAATTAATATATCTCTATATATTTTCTGTTCAAGTGTCATCTATTCTGCAGACTTTAAAATAAAAACAGTTTGTTTAATATTTGAAAAATAATTTCTATAAAAACATTTAATTTAGCTATGAAAGGGTATTTGTTCTCTTTGCTGCTGTTAAGATAATAAGTACAAAATCACTAAAAACAACTTTAATTCATAATGTTAATTTTGTCACATTTCAGGGTGCATATATCACATTTCTTCTCACTCTGTTTTACTGTGTTAGAACTCACCATTAGTAAGGCACTTGTATACTCTAGTATAGGTGTTACTGTAACATAGAGGAGCTTTCTTGTTTTCTAAACATTAAAAAAGGTCTAATGTGAAGCCAAGGGCTCCTCACTCCTCGCTTAAAACACAACCTGTCTGATATCTCCCAGCATACACAAATGAAGATGAAGCAGAGATGTAAACAGGAACAGCCATTTCCTGTTTAAAATGATGGTTTCTGTCTCAAAACGACTCAGAAAAAAAGATCTGCAGTGTTGGCTCCGTTTACACACATTTATATTCTTATGTCAAGAGAAAACTGACCTGAACACAAACATGAAGGCTACTGTGTCACAATCAATAGCTTTTGTTACACAGTGATGGTTTTCACCGGCCTGGACAAGTTTTCTTCAGCAATCTCACACAACCCATAATCTTGATTCATTTACTATGCCATGATAGCAAACCAATGATCAAGGCTGTTGTGAGTTGACCAGGGTGCAGACTAACAGATAAACCTTGATCTTTTCATTTTGTTCGGGCAAAGCAGCTACAGTGTGTCACTAGTAGCAAGACAAAATACATACAATTGTTCATATCCAAACTTTCAGAAAATGCATGTACTTTGGCTACTAAAAAGCACCATGTGTCAAAAGATAATGTTTGCTGCATTGAAAACAAAAAGAGCCCTGTCGCTCCTTCACTCACTTTCACAGTTTCACTGCCATCGTATGCTCCACCATGAGACCAGCACTTTGACAGATTGTGGGCTTGCAAGGCTACTTGGAACAATAAGCTCTTCTTCACTTGTTTTACGTAGTGTAATATGTGGTGAGAGAACAGATTCTTTATATCCAATAAAATGAAGTCAATACGTTTCCAGGTCCGTAGGAGGGAGTTGTTCCACACAGTAAAGTAGCATTACTGTGTGTCAGTGTGTCTGAGTTTATGTGGAGTAAAGTCTGACAGCCAGGTTCATCTCTGTATAAGTGGTTAACAGTGACAGGACTGACAGGCTCAGAGGCTGCTCCATAACGTCGTGCTATCCCAGAAGCACCCTCTGCAGGCGGTAGGCGGGCACGCTGCTCTCGTCCTCTGACTCGGCGTCGCTCTGGGGGTTGGAGCTGCAGGGAGACGTGCACTCTGGGGAGCACAGGTAGTGCATGAGGGGCAGCCGGTACTTTCCACAGAAGTCCACAAACTTGATCTGGCGCACACATGAATCAAAGTAGACGCCTGGAAAAAGTAAGAGAAGAAACAGGTTTCAGGTTACTTGTGTTATTCTGAGAGAATGTATCTATACATTAACATGATAACGTTAAATTCTGTAAATTCAGATGTAAGCAAAACAGCATTCATATGCAGGCTTGGGAAAATATGTAATGCATTTTGTAATATTAAGTATCTTTCTCTTAGGTGCGGCTTCGTATACGACAGCATATGTTATTCAAGTGGTTCTGGACCAAGGCCTTATTATCAAAAAAACATCTTCATGCTACACAAAGTTTGGCAAATGTTGACCTCAAATCTTTGCCTTTCTCTCAGATACATTGTGGATATAGTTGACCTTTTCAGGTCTCTGAAATGTCTTTTAAAGTATTTGTGCTTTATGTTTGAATTGGTCAAAAACTGTAGAAACATGTCAAATCTTCATTTCATGGGGTCATACTCACAAACTAAAAAAGAAGAGTCGGTTGTAAAAAAAGAAAGAAAACTGAGCTCCATACTTTAGAAAATAATGATGATTACAAAATTGAACAAGATAAAAAAACCTCAACATCAATCTGTGCATTTTCTTCATGTAACGTAATAAAAGTGTCTCACCGGCACACTTGGGGTTGGGGCACTTGCTGGCCAGGTCCAGGTAGCCGAGCAGGTTGGAGGGCAGGTCGCAGGGCGAGTAGGGAACATTCCGGCTCTTGGCGGAGCGCGCTGCCAACTCTAGCAGCGACGGAGGGTCGTAGGTCATCTCCTTGACAAAGCGCACGACCAGTGGGTTGCCACGGAGACTGAGCTCTTGCAGATGCACAAGGGAGAGGATCTCCCTCGGCAGGTAGGTGAGCAAGTTGTTGTGGAGACTTAAAGATCGCAATGAGTAGAGCCTGGAGTGGGACAGAGAAACATTTTCACATACAAATTGACTACAGAAATTATTAGATCAATGCATATACAAACCTGGCTTTTATGTAATCTGGAAATCAGGTTACAAGACACTGGTTTTGTTACCTGGTGAGCTGCGGGGGGACACTTTGGATGCGGTTGTCACACAGGACCAGGTAGCTGAGGTAGGGCAGGTTAGCCACTTCTGGAGGAATGGCTGTGATGAAGTTTCCACCCAGATATAACAGCTCCAGACTAACAGAAAAAAGGGACAAAATAGTTGATTTTTAGTTTAAAAAGGTTTAATTAAAGTATTTTAGCTATTTTATGGAAACACAAAATTAGGAGGGATAAATTATTTTGTGGTGGAGCTTCAGCGTTTGCAGTAACCTTTGCTTCAGTTTTAAAGTGATCATGTTTTGTAGGTAAACATGTCATAAAGGGAAACTTTTCTGGCAAACAAAACTGAAAAGTGAGCCCAAGTTAAAACTAATACATACCACAAGGGGGAGCTAAAGATGCATGGGTTCATGTTGAAGCGTTTGTGTGAATGTTTTTGTGTCTCTACATTTATTTAGTAATTTACTTGGAAGCCTACTCATCATCAAAAAGACAAAAGTGAAGAGATAAAACAATATGTCCAAAATGGTCTCATCATTACGACATTACTTTAAAGTACACACTTTGTTGCTTCATCAACTCAGGAAAAGGAGTGTGCAAATATAACATTTGCAATACATGTACATTTTTGTTAAAGCTCCTAAGCAAGACAAACTTAGTTTGATATTTAATTCGCTAGAAGAAAAAACTGCTTCCATGTTTAGTACATGTGTGTTGTATTAGGACAACATACATGTGTGTTGTATTAGGACAACAAAAGGACTCCGGTAGGGTAATGGAAGTATGGAGTACACAGGGGGGTAATTGGGAGTGAAACAGAGAGACGGGGTGAGAGAAATGGATGGCTGGTCAGCAAAAGTAAGCTGTCCGGCCATCTGCCTGCTGGAACTGATGACACAGCGACCATGAGACAGGAAGCCATTATGCTGTCCTTGGTGGTGGAGCACTGAGCCCCTCTGTGTTAGGAACTGAGACATTTGGGTCTCCTTAATAGCCTCACAAACACTCAAAATACCAAACAGATCATGCATTTTAGCCAGAGTGGCAAAGTCCCTCACCTTCCGGTGGACCTCCATGGGAACTTATTCCAAAAAAAAATTATTTATTGAAGTCAATGGAGAGAGAAAGATTATCTTTCGATCCCGTTTGAATTGTGCCACGAATTACACATATGATGTGTGTCAATTTAAAAGATAATTTTGCAAGTAAACAAAAAAAGAAATTGTCGTAAAACTGTGAAGCAAACATTTTTTTGTGTGAAATCGCTCAATGAACTACATCTCCCGTCCCGCACCAC